AAAAAGGTTTTATCTAAGTTTAAAAACCAGAAAGTTGCTCGCTCTTCGAGTTGGAAGAGTCCATCTGCAGTGACACTAGCATTAGTGTCATAAGCAAAATTGACTGTCTTTACATGATCGCTGGTTACAGTTACATGGGACGGAAAATCATTAATATAGAGCACAAAGAGAATAGTGCGAATACCAAATTGAAAAGAGTTGTTGATAAGTGAGCACAGAGAAAAGCAAAGTTCTGTAGCACAAATTTTTGTGAGGTGATTTGGGATTTCAACAAATCCCGAGCATCAATTTACTCGTGTATTTAATTTGGAGTTACTAATGGTGTTGCCTGCTTCCAAAGAGCTATCGTTGAAATTATTGAAAATGTGGGAAGTAGTCAGAAGCTACATCCATGAAAATTGACATGTGGGAAAGGTTTACCAAGCTGGCTAGTTAGTCCAGGACCAATTTTTGTTCGAAGAAAAGTGAGACATAGCAAATATAAACCATTAGTAGAGGAAGTCAAACTTGTAGAAGCTAATCCCAAGTAGGTATGCACTGATTCAATTTTCGGATGGGAGAGAAGCAAACGTTTCTTAAGTACCTTGGTCCCAGAGGTGAACTTCATCTATAACAACAAAAAAAAGACAGTTTATGTAAATATGATACCTAAGGATGATCATCAGTTGCAACTCGAATTTAGAGAAACTATCAACTATCACTATTTCAAACTGGAGAACCATCATATGAGACTGAAGAGATCCATTATCTATTCAAAATCCACAATCAGCAAGTTGAAAAAAGCTCTCGACAAAGCCTTATTTCTGAAGACTGCTTAACTTTTATGTTACATGCTTTTTGTAAAGTCTGTACTTTGTAGGAACAATAAGATCTTGAACTAACACTAACATGCATACTGTAGAGTTTTTGCAGAAGTTTTTTTTTGGCTATTTGAGGAGGATCTAGCCGCTAGATCCAGTATGGACAATGCTAAAATATTTTGGTTAATGATGAGTATTTCCAAATGTGAACTCAAAAATTGTTAAGTGAGCATTCACACCAAAGTAGCATCCGACGTGCGACTTGCTGCTAGAAAGCGGGAAGCGCGTCGCATGCTACTTTGGTGTGAATGCTCATTAAGTGCTTTATGTGTGCGCCTTGCAAATATGTCGCAAACTATCAAAATGTATAACATGTTTCAATTCTATAGGCCGCACAGTGTATTATTTCCATATTTTAGAAAATATTAAATAAATTATTTCACATCGTTGAAATTAAAAAAAACTTGTAAAATACGCTTCACGAATAACTGATAAGGTCGAAACAACAACAACAAAAAAAAGTGAAACAAAAACGCACGGCCTGTCGCGATTTGATTTGGAAGAATATCAAGTCCGATAATATTTTTACTTGTATATTGGCATTTGATTGGTAATTGTTACTCTTTGGTGTTTTGCGTTTTATACGCCAAGTGTTATAAAAGTATTTTAGATATATTTTGTAAGGTATGTAGTATTTATTAAATACAATTTTTTATGACTTTCTAAAACTAGTATTGTGTATATCGTGTTTTATTAAACTGATGTAAAATTAGATTAAATTTTAGCAATATATTAGATTTATTATGCCAGGAGACACATTATCCGCGGGTATCCGTTTTAATTTTTATTCCGTTTTATTTGTTGCTCTTCCTGGACCTTATATAGCATAACTTTAGCTGCAGGAAGGTGCAGGTTTGTATGTAATTTTTTTTTTCAGGAAACATGTCAATTTTACGAAATGAGCTTTTTGAAGTGTGGTACCAACAGAATGGCGATAAAGACAAGAATAAAGCTGTTCTTTCATATGTGATAAATAAATTAAATTTGTGTGATTGTGAAGATAGTTCAACAATGGCTAAACTCAGCAAAGATGTCTCTAATTTTACAAGTAAGGTCACTGATAAGTGGAAAAATTGCAACCGCATAATAAAAGATTTTCGCAATAAAAATCAAAAGTGGTTAGATACACATATTATTTTTTTGGAAAATCCCGTCAATGATAAGCCTAGCTCAAAAAAAGGACGACCAACAATGTTATTTACGGAGGTTAGTAATCAGTCAAAAGGGAAAAAGGTGTCACCTTTGGTGGAAAACTATATAAAAGAAGAGTTGACTTTTGCAACTTGTTCCAGCCTAAGGTTATCAGGCCAAAGGGATGCTGCTTTGATGGTGGAAACTGTAACTAAAAGTTTGGAGGCAACTAAGATAAAACATGCTATTTCTCACCCCACACCTTTGCCCATTAATTATACCCCAGAAGAGGCCTTAGCCCTAAATATAACTGAAGAATTAACGGTTAGGACATACTTGGAAATAAGATCTTGAGCTAAAGAACGAAATGCTGATATTTATCCATCATATGGTTCCATTCAAAAAGCAAAAAAGGCATGCTATCCCCCAAAAGAATTTATTTGCATAACAGAACTATCTGCGGAGGTACATCTGCAATCATTAGTGGACACAACTGTTCTTAGACTTGCAATGGTTCAAAAAGATGTCTTGATACAGGAAGCAGCATCTGAAAGTAATCTTACTATCATATATAAATGGGGTTGCGATGGAAGTGCAGGCCATTCAAGATATAAACAAAAATTTACCGATGAAGATGGAAGCGTTCAAAGTGATGTTTAGTACCTTTACGGCTCCAAACGGAAAGCGGTAAAATTTTGTGGAATAATCCCCGGCCATCGTCAACACGTTTTTGTAGGCCTATTAAAATTTCGTTTCAAAAAGAAACCAATGAATTTTCTAAAAAAGAAATAGAGAAGGTTGAAAACCAAATTAAAGCAATTAAGCCGACAAAAGTTCCAGTTGAAAATGAAGAAAAAATTGTTTCTCATAATTTTCAGCTTAGCATGATAGACGGAAAAATCTTTAGTGCAATTACCGAATCATCAACGCAAACGTGTGGAATTTGCGGGGCAACCCCAAAATGTATGAATGATATTGAAAGGGTTTTAGAAAGAGCTATTTACGAAAATCATTTAAATTTTGGACTATCCACCCTCCATGCCTGGATTCGTTCATTTGAAACTCTGCTACATGTAGCTTAAAAGCTGGGTGTATGTAAATGGCAAATTCGAGACGAAATTGATAAAAATATTGTTAAAGAACGAAAAAATTTAATCATCCAAAAATTTAAAGCAGAAATGGGATTATTAGTAGATCTTCCTAAACAAGGTTTTGGAACGACCAATGATGGCAATACAGCCAGACGTTTTTTTCAGAACCCATTAGTTGTTTCAGGAATAACGGGAATTGACGAAAATTTAATTAAACGTTTTGCTGTCATCCTTCAAACTATGTCATGCGGTTTTTCAATCAATTCAGAAGCATTTCGCGAATATGCGATAACAACCGCAAAAATGTTTGTAGAGTTATACCCATGGTACTACATGCCTTCAAGCATCCACAAAATCCTAATACATGGAGCTGACATAATAAATAATGCAGTGCTTCCAATAGGAATGCTCTCAGAGGAAGCATTGGAGAGCAGAAATAAAGACTTTAAGAGATTTAGGCAATATAACACAAGAAAGATGTCGCGTACTAAGACCATGGAAGATTTATTTAATATTTTACTCTTGTCGTCTGATCCCTTAATATCATCAATTTCTAAAAACAAACCGAATATCTCTAAGAAAAAGGATACAATTAATAAAGAAGTGTTACAGCTACTGTCCGACCCAGAAGTAAATTTTGGGCAAAATTCTGATATCCTAGACCAAGTCGAAGGGTCTAGTTCCGATTCCAGTTTTAGCGACTAGAACAATATTCGTTTTAAATAATTTAGTTTTAAATATTAATTTGTTTGTCAGTGTGTTTTTTTTTTCGAAGAAATTCATTTTATTTTGTTTCCTTGGATTTCTTATGTAATAGAAATTTATTTGAATGTTTATTTATGTTATCATTTTTCTAAAGTTTTATTTATGGTATTTTTCAAGTGTCGAATAAAAAAATTAAGTTAAATAATAAAATATTAGTTTTACGAACGTAATGTTTCTGGTTTTATATTTGAATCAATGACTACCGTTCAAAAAAAAAAAATGTTATAAACAAACAAATTAAATGGAAAAATGATTATTTACTTAACCACAAATATATATATATTTATGATATCAGAGAACAAATTTAAAAAAATAATAATAAAACAATTAATTATCCTATCTATTATTTTATATCAGCTAGATTAACGAAAAATCACACTGTGGGCCGTCGGCGGACAAGCGTTTGCGTTCAAAAACCCGGTATTGACGTATAATTTATTGAGACTAGTATCACATGATTCAGCATATTTTTCTCCATAGAAAATCGAAATGGACGACTTTTTTCATTGGTCGAGAGCTAAGTTCAGAGCAAAAAACTAAAAATATTCGGAAATTAAAATTTCCAACTTTAACCTCGTACAACTTCTAAACCGCTCGAGGTAATAAAATGATTTTTCGTCTAGATTCAAGAAAAACTTATTCTCTTCAATATGGTATATATATTATTTGAAAAATTTCAAAGTAAAGCTCAAAAAATCAGTTATTACGTAGGCACGGCGCGATTGAATAAAATATATGTTTGCTTTAACCTGCGATAACTCCTTCATATATAGGAGTATTCAATTAATTTTTTGCTCAAAAACTGGCAAATTTAATTGGCTTTCTTTTGACTCGATTATATACCGACCTATTTTCAATAATAAACTTAATAGAGCCATTTAAAGACGATGGCGCACGGTCCGATGATGATGGAGTTGCGTTGACTCCGTCTCTGACCTCGTACACCGACCGCACGTGCGTCCAAATAGTTACCAATATTCCCAATTATTCCTGCTGGCAGTGTTGGCAAAGTTTCCATTATTCCAGCGTTTGTATTGTATTATTATAGTAGTTAATGTATATTGTTGATAGTGTAATGTAATGTAGTGTACTCAATATTTTTGTGTTATGAAGGTAAGAGGTAAATATTGATTTTATTGAGGAAAAACTCGAGGAAAAATGATAAACAAAAGTACAATACTTGGTAAATATAAATGAACATAAAAGGTTTGAGTATTTCTAAATATTTAACAAAACTCTAATAAGTCGTCTTCAGCGTCGTCTAACAACTCTACGACCTCAATGTTAGTGCACTTCATATTGCACTTGCAATCACTCGAACAAAAAACTCCTTCAGATTTACAGGCACATTTGCTATTGTTGCAATTCTTTTCTGTACAAAATAGGCTAATAACTTTTCGTATTTCATCTGGAATGGGCGTCTTATTGGTGAATTTTGGCGAAAGGCAGTTATTTGTATCAATTGTCCATCCATAATTTTTCGGGTCTAATCTATCAACTAAGCCAATATGACTCATTGTCCAGAGACGAACTTGATAATAACATCTGTAAAACCAAAGTAGAAATGCTTAAAATACATTTAGTACGTCTATTAGTTGTGGTAATATAAGGTCTGTTTCTGCAGAAATCACAAACCGGTTAGAGCGAATTTCATTGGTTGAAAACAGTCAGGTAACTACTTTCAACCAATGAAATTCACTCTGACAAGTTTGTGATTTCTGCAGAAACAGACTTATAATCACATTCAATAATTTATTTTCCTACGAACGTGCGGATAGTAATCATAAACCGCTCACATTTGCGAGTGGAAAGTTGTACTTTTCGGCACTATAGGGCAACATAGTACGTTTTTCCACAGCAATACGTGCGAAAAAAACTATACCCAACACGTGCGAAAAGTGTCTTTTCCGCTTAATACTTGCCCCCACTCGTGTGCAGAAAAAAAATCGTATTAGGTAATGTGCGACAAGTGAGTGAACCGTGGTAACGTATGAAGTAGCAGAGAGGAAGACGAAAATCTATACTATACGACGCGACGGGTCCCCGACGTGGTGCATTGCGAAAATTGCGTTTACCCTGACGCGACGACCCGCGTATAAGTATATTTTATCTCGGGCCAATCAGGAGGGTTATGCCCGCATTCCTTCCATACAGGTTCATTCACTTGTCGCAGTTTAATTACCTGAGTACATGCAGATAAAAGGCGTCTTCAGTGGGGGGAATTTCTTTCGCAGACTTCTTCGTTTCCTTCGTCATTTTCTGTCGGACTTCGTTTAAATCTTTACATTTATCGTTTCTATATAAGGATAGAGTAAACTTTCTAGCAGAGTCCAGACCTTGTTCAATAGAGGTTTTTCCAAAAGAGTGCAGATCAAATTGCTGGTGGTTCCGAAAATATATTTGCCAGGCAGATTTTTTTCCAATTTTAAAGAAGGAATTAGTGGTATCACATCCGGTTATGGCGTGGAAAGCTGGTAATCCATCCGAAATTGGCTTTTGTAAGTTCTGCGCAATTAAGTGAATAGGAACAAATCGTTTTTTATTAGTGGATGTAGTGTTGTGACCTTTTTCCATATAGATTTCCGATGCATTTAACTTTTTGTCATTCCAATAGAAATAGATCAATAAAACCAATACATCAGTGTCGTCTGACTTAACAACAATGGGGCTCCCAGTGGAACTATGCACTAGGTGAAAAATAAGCCGGGTATCAGCTTCTTCATGATTAGACTGTAACAATTCATCGACAGTAACTCCCGAATTTTTGACCTGAAAATTATTTGTATTTGAAAAAAAATCAACTCAAAACAAAGTACTTGTTTACCTTAATACTCATACTTCCATCTTGAAGGCCTCCGGCTATCCAAAGAACTTTTTCCGGTGGTAGCTTTGGTGACGACTTCAATCAATCAATCAATCAATTCTTTATTGTTTAAAAAGAATATACATTCTTATAACAGTAGGTTCTGCACAATAATAAACTTAATCTAAGTAATGCTACATTTCTCATACTTATAAGCTACACGTTTAAATATGTAAACCCAAATTTGAAATTGAAAAAGAACAAAAAATAATACTCTATAATAATTCAGGTACGAGCAGAATAGGAAGATAAAATTAAAATCTAAAGAATAGGTCTATTCATTTCTTAAGAACGATCTAAGTTTAAGAATACTAGTAACGGTTTGGAAAATAACCCTCACCAGTTGAGGGCTTAGATTGTCCAAATTATGAGCAAAATTCGGTATATCACCCCAATCTGCCGGCCTAACACTACGATATAAAGGACATTCAAAGAGAACGTGAAGAAATGTTTCAGGCACTCTTAGGTTACAAACCGAACAGAGTTCTTCTTGATTAATTCTATAAGCTATGCCATTCCAGAATATATTGCAGTTATAACTCGAACAAAGTCGTATTTGTGTAATAACTCTGATCATGTAAAAAGCACAGTCAGAATAAAGGTACTTCAACGAATGCTTATTTAAATCAAATTGACTATAAAACAAAGTATACGTAGAATTTCGTGCCACTCGATAGTCGGTCTGCAAACATCTTTCACGAAAATGTTTTAATATCTCTGGTTTACTACGTTTTAAAGAAATGTTATTTAAAGACCACAAGTGGGTTATTCCGATTTCTTGAAACCATCTGTAAAAGTTGTAAGCCCAATTAAACTTAGGGGAGGCATTACCACCAAATAAATTGAGCTGGCGATTTAGACAAATTTTGGGCAACCTGTGATTCCCCATGCCTAATAGTTTAATAAAATAGTTTAGCGTTGACTTGAACACGAAATACGACAGAGGCAGACTGTCTGTTTCAACTCTAATTATGGCATGGGAGGTATTCTTTGGGAGCCTTAAAAGGGACTTAAAGAACGAGGACTGAACCTTCTCCAGGACATCAGCATATCGAGGCCCCCAGACTGGTAAACAATTACTAAACGAGTTCATAACGGAACCAGAAAACAGCTTTTTATTAACAGAAAATGAATTGTATTTTATTTTAGATGTTAGTGACATAACCGCACCTGCCGCTTGACATGCACGTTAAATTGTATTGTCGGTCATTATCCGAAAGCAGTTCGATGGGGTGGTTAGTTTCTTTTCGATCTACATTCTGTTTAAAGGAAATTTTGTCAAAAGCAAAGAATTTCGTTTGATCTCGAGGCACAGCTTTCCAAAAGCTTACATTACCATCACAAGAAAGCCTCTCTTCTACAAACTTTTTAACATTAAGCGAAGCATGTTCTTTAATATTAGAAATAGACTGCTTTACAATATCTGAAGCTACTTTACCGGTAGCAATATGTATTAAATCCTTTGAAAAGTTATTTGTATTAAAGGGATTTACCCATGTAGATTCTACTAAATCTAACATTTTATTAATATCTTCTTCATCTCTAAGATTTTCACACATACTGTACATCTTACTGTTTTTATTAAAATTGGATATTAGGTCATGTACTTTACTAGAGTACTCTCCCATTAGATGCCGCGTTATGAGCCATCTCACCAAGGTTGGTTCGCTTCTTGTGAAGCCCACCACGCCACCAGAACTTTTACAATCTCGTTTAATTGTCTGCTCCAAAGCCATGTCTGATGCAACACAATTAAATTTTTTTGTGTCAGTTCTTCTAACAACAAAATTTCCGTTTTTGAGGTATTGGTACATTTTGGGCTTTTTCAGTTTAAGATTTTCCATATCTAGCAAATAAATAGGAGTGTAACGAGCATAGTTACTACGCCCACCTGCTCTGAGAAAAGGAAGAGTTTCTTGGACCGCTTCCAAATGTAATTCAAAATCAGCATTACATTCAGATCTCAGGAGCTTAAGTAGTATGTCAGCTGCTTCAATAAACAAAAACCAATATTTAAATGTTGGTGAATTTTGGCAACCAAACTCTATGAACTGGATAAGATATTTGTTAAATTCCTCCGATTTACTAAAGATATTTCCTAGGGTCTTCTCATATTCATCGATAGAATGTTTTTCATTAAACATATTTTCGAAATTGTTAAGGGCGTCTTGCATATCTTCAGTAAATAAGGATAATCCGTGATTCTCATCTAGCCACAATTCCATTGATTTGAAGAGCAGTCTGTGTAAAGTATCTGAGACTAGTAAAATCCCGCGAATGGAACGATATAAATGCTTGCCTTGCAACATCTGCCTACAAGAAGCTTCTGCGTATACTCCAGATTCAACCAGGATATTTATTAGTCCGCCATCCGTGAAGATACTTCCGATACTGGCAATAAAAGCCATCATCAGGTGCATTCCACCTAACTGCATGGTTACTTTGTCAGATAGAGCAGGTGGATTATTCCATAAGATTTCCCGTGCCTTGCAGTATATTGCTAAATCAGCGGTAACTACAATATGATCTTGCCCTATATTCTCTGCTATCTTAACTAATTGTACAAGTGCGGTAAAAATTGTATCGAAAGTTGACGGGGGAGCATTAATAAATGGATAATAAAACACATTTGAGACTAGTAAATTATTGCTAGAAATAATGTTATTGAATTCACTCCATCCGATAAATGTACTAGTATTTTTTTTATATCTCAATATCATCCATAATTTATCCGTGGTGATACCTTTAGATTGTTTCAAACAAAAACAGTTCTCCAGTATATTTTTCCCAAATTTTTGCGGTTCCGGGCGTTGTGTAGGTTTTTTATAGGAAATAAGTTCTTGTTCTAAACTAAAATTTGTGTTTTCACCAAGCGAACGCTTAGTTTGTCTCTCAATTGACGGTTTGTTTAAAATTTCAGAATTTTTCTGAAAAATGACCATTGCCATTGAATGAGTTGTGGCTTTTCCATCCAACGTCTCCTCATTCAAATCAAAGTTGTCAATACTGGCATGTATCAAGTTGTCATTCTGATTATTGACTTGAATTAGCCCTTGTGGTATAAAGATGTTGCTTTCAGTACTTTCGATTTGATCTGTTGCTATGGAAGTTAAAAACTTGCGCATTTCATCGTAAGAAATTCCATATCCAAAATTGTATAAAATGTCTAATATTTTTTTACTTCTAACGGTTTGATAAATATAAATGGAAAGGCCTAAACTGAGAGTAGAGATAAAATTAATTTTATCGAAACCGTTTAAAATGGATGAACATATTGCTATAACGTTAACATCAAATTTATCCTCCGAGAGGTCATTAAAAAATCTTTCGTTCATTATCCAAGTCAAAAACTTGTACAAACTATCCGGAATTTCATCTCTACAATTGATAGGATTTATGGCTTTCGGAGTTACATATACTTTAGTTTTGTCTTTTTGATGGTCTAAAATTGACTGCCGTAAAATGCCTGCTGCTTTATGCAAAACTATATTCTCATTTTCCCCACATTTACTAGGTATAAACTCTTCCTCAGATGAGTCGGAATCCTCTTGATCGAGAGAAGAACATATTAATTCGTATTCATGTTCTCTTGAAATGGTGAGAGTAGGTTTTCCAGGAGATGAAATAAAAGATATGGTATCTCCAAAATGATTTTCAAGTTTTTTTCTTAAATTGCCAGTACTTTCTGAAATCTCATAATCTGCATTTTGTTCTTCTATTATTTTTTCAAAGTAATTACACAGGGTCGAGAGTTTTACACATTTCTTTTGCTGTAAAATTTCTTCTGCAATTTTTTTGAAAAGTTTATTAAAAGCGTCTTGCATAGAATTTTGTGTTTCATCAGCAGCTTGTTTTCTATTGCAGGCTATTACATTTTTTTTGCTTATGTATTGCGCGTAACAAGCACTGTGATATTTTGCATCCGCAGCGAAAAGATCAGTATAAAACTTCATTCTACCTTGCATAACATCATCACCTCTTTGTACAGCACTTTTTAAAATCTTTTCTCGGGTACTACTCCCTGTACCTGTACTAATAGATATTAGGTTTTTCTTTCTATAAGTGCCGCTTTTACCACAAATTAAGCAGTCACTTTTTATATCAAACTTCTTACCACTACGACCGCTGCTTGATGGAAATACTTTGGTTATGTTTGGGTTATTCACATAAATTACAATTTCATCAATAAATGTAGGTGCACTATGGAAAAAAAAAAACATCTGTGTGTGCACTTTTATGTGTTGTGTTGCTATGCATCTATATAAATAAATATTAAGCTTCTAAGAATATATTATGCGAAAATGGCCAACTTTACACAAGATATACCTATCCATATAATAAATTATACAAAATTTAACAGACATAGATATTTTAGCAAAATTTGCATAATTCATAACAATAATATAAATCGTGAGCTATTAAGCATTTAGAAAAATAAATATACCTATATTATGTATATAAAAAAATACATGAGAAAATGGCTGACTTTACTTAAGATAATTACTATCTATCCTTATACTAACTTATATAGGTTGTAACAGATTTTGATTTTGATATTTTATTAAAATCTATATACTTTTCAGTCTATGAACAGATTTACAACAATAAAACAAATCGTTAGTCACTGGACAAAAGAGAAGGAGAAAGAGAAAGGAAAATACAGAGTGAGAGAGCAATTAAGATGTAAACCAGGTTATTTTTTTGTCAATTAACCAACCTTGGAGCCTTTTTTTAATTTTATTAAAGGGTTTATTTTAAATTTCACATTCACTACTTTGTCGATATTATTTTTGCTGCAAAAAGATTTTCTGCAACTTATATGATATTTGAATCTTTCTGGATTAGCGTTTATTTCTTCTCTTCGGGACAATATTTGTAAAGAAATAGCATCTTTTCTTTTTTCTGCTGCAGAAAAAATTGTCGCATAGCCCTGTCTTGTTGGCTTTTTAACACAAGGTGATTCCGCCGTTAATGTTTTGCAACATAAAATACAAACATTATCCATGACGTCAATGGTAGTCCGTCTACAAAATTTAAAAAATTTAAAGTAGTAGATACCTTCGTAAAGCGTAAAAAAGGAATAATTTCATTCATTTGTCAAATATATCAATTAATTGGACAAGTGGTAGATGCTGACGTGACAGACCAATCATACTTGAAATTATACGGAATAATAATAATTTCATTCACCATTACATCAATTTCAAATAATGGCAAAAATTAATTCTCGAATTAAATTGTTATGTTTGAATGCATAATTTTAATAATCATATTAAGTAAACGGTAATTTTGGGCAGTTAACTTCTTATGTTACTATTACTGAAAATATCATCTTACCTGCATAAACTCCTAATGCAAGCAGAACCCGATAAACCAGACTTTTCATAAAAATAACACAAAATTCCATAAACAGGGAAAATGCACTGTAATCGACGCTGAACGCAGTGTACGGCGTCGCACATAATTTTTAATTCATGCCAGTGGTCGTCAGCGGGCTACAGGAAAGAGACGGAGAGCCACACAACTTCTAACGCCAGACCGCGCTTTGTTGTCTTTAAACGGCTCTATTGAGTTTATTATTGAAAATAGGTCGGTATATAATTGAGTCAAAAGAAAGCCAATTAAATTTGCCAATTTTTGAGCAAAAAATTAATTCAATACTCCAATATATAAAAAAGTTATCGCAGGTTGAAGCAAACATATATTTTATTAAATCTCGCCGTGTCTACGAAATAATTGATTTTTTGAGCTCTACTTTGATATGTTTCAAATAATATATACACCATATTAAAGAGAATATTTTTATCTAGAATCTAGAAGAAAAATCATTCTATTACCTTAAGCGGTTTAGAAGTTATACGAGGTTAGAGTTGGAAATTTTAGTTTCCGTATATTTTTAGTTTTTTGCTCCTAACTTGGCTCTCGACCAATGAAAAAAGTCGTCCATTTCGATTTCATACGCAGAAAAATATGCTGAATCATCTGATACTAGTCTCAATAAATTATACCTCAATACCGGGTTGCTCCTTAAAACGAAGGCTTTTACGCGCTCCGCCGCCGTCCTACTAAGTCGCACTTCGCATGTGGCCACGTCGCATTTTGGCTAATCTACTCCGGTGTGAAACTACCCATATATTTCTAAAGGTTCTAAAATAAGTAGCATGCTTCTTGCTTTCTAGCAGCAAGTCGTACGTCGCATGCTACTTTGGTGTAAATGCTCACTAAGAGTAACGAGGCATAAATACATACCAATATTAGTTAACATAAAAAAGCAATCGCCTTAAGTCTAAAATTGTATGTACTAATATTGCATTGGCTCAATATTCTTGTTCTGGTAATCATTGATTGTGATTTTTCATTAAAACTTGGAATTAACATCCTATATGTTTTTTAACTATTTTTCTTATTTTTATTTTTCTAGTTAAGCCAGTTGCCAATACAGCTAAAACTTTACGATTGACCAGAGAGGATTTCGAAATAGTGAAAGTGATTGGACGAGGGGCCTTTGGTGAAGTATGCGTGGTCAAACTGCGCGGTTCCGAAAAAGTATTCGCCATGAAGATCCTGAACAAGTGGGAAATGTTAAAACGTGCCGAGACTGCTTGTTTTAAGGAGGAAAGGGACGTGCTGGTGTTTGGAGATCGGCGATGGATCACTCATTTACATTATGCATTTCAAGTAAAGTCTTTATATTGGTTCAAAACAATAAATTCTAGAATCTTCAAGCTCAATGAAAACACGCTTCAAGAGCTAGAATTTACTGTACAATCCATTTCACTAATAATTGTAATATAGATTTAATAAGAACAAATTTTCAGGATGAATCGAATCTATATTTGGTTATGGACTATTACTGCGGCGGTGATTTGTTGACGTTATTAAGTAAATTCGAGGATCGTCTTCCAGAGGACATGGCCAGGTTTTATATTGCCGAAATGGTGTTGGCCATCGACTCCATACATAAGTTGAAATATGTACATAGGGATATTAAGCCGGACAATGTCCTTTTGGATGCCAACGGGCACATTAGGTTAGCGGATTTCGGTAGTTGTTTGAAATTGAATGACGACGGTATGGTGCAATCGAACGTAGCTGTAGGAACTCCCGATTATATTTCTCCTGAGATTTTACGGGTGAGTGAATTAGAACTAGTTAATCTCTATTATAAGTCTAGAATAGTTCTATGGATGTACTATTTTTTCTATTATAATATTTGATTTATTTCTGATCTCAAAATAATATGCATATGCAATGAATACTGGCATATATTCTAGCCTGAATTTCTAGCCCAAATTATATTCGAGGAATTATTCTATATTGATCTAGAATAAATAGTTAAAAAGTATAAAAATCTTGCATATGTTGAATTTTTAGAAATATTGTACGTTTTCTACCAATAAATTCTAACTACTAATTCAAGGGATTACTAGAATACTTTTAAAGTACCTGCTAAAAGATGGTCCCCTCATCCAAAATCTTGAGTCTACTTCTGTTGAGTTTGAAAACGAATTTAAGGAAGTATTTCAGAACACCCTGTCAAGTTTCTGTTAAAAGATGGTAGTGGTACACCATCCAAAATTTTGAGGAAAATGATAAAAACTTTGCTTTTATTGATTTTTTTAATAATTCTGCAGTCAGCATAACACTTATGCAAAATCACACGATTTGAATATATTTTAAACAAATTAAACATCATATTCACAATTTAGACGACCTGGAAATGTTTCCAAGTCCCGACCATGATCATCACTCAGTGTGAGTAACCTTGGACCCTTGGCTGATTCTTCTTCCCAAAAACTTCACCAAATGTGGCATGATCTGGGTGCTGTTCATACCTCGTTCCTGTTTTTCCTACTGCCTCTAATACCGGATGAGCTTCAAAAGATACCAAACTTTCAGACTAGCAGGATGGCTGTGGTCTTATTGAATGCTGTTTAAGCTCACTTCTCTGCAACAAGAAAAATCACTCTGAACGTACAGCCTCCTCATGAAATCCACCATTTGTTGGTTTGGTCTGGAGTTTTCATCAATATTGGGCTTAAAAGCAGTTCCTTAATACTTAGAAGCTGTTCGTAGTGTATTTTTGGGGCTTTATTCAGTGAGAGCAACTTCTGATTGAGCTCAAGCTGCTGTAATTTTCGTTTTCGCATTCCTCTTCGCAGGAAACTTTCCGTGGCATTGAGTTATTGAACTATCTCTAGGCTCTAGGTTTTGTACATACATGAAGGCGCAAAAACTACATTCCACTACTTCAAAAATTTTTTGAATTCTCTTAAAGCATATTGACCACCATTATCTGATCGAAACCTAACAGGTATGCCAGTATCGGCAAAAATTTTGTACAGATGATTTATCATCTGCGAGCTGTTTGGATCTTTGTTATTTTACTGAGTAACTATTGGCCATCCCGAAAGTTTATTGACATAAACCATGAAATGTTTTCTTCCTGTACCTACTGAATAAATCCAACGTCTTCAAATGGCCTGCTTGGAAGGTTTTCAATCACGTAGGTCTCATTTGGTAAGGATGCTCTGTTTTCTGACAGGACTGACAAGGCTTCTACGCAATTCTGAATATCACTCTTCATTGCAAGCCAGTAAACTGTTTGACGGGCTCTCCTTAAGTTTTTTCTTGATTCCTTGATGTGATGCATGCAATTTTCAAATTATTGATTTTCGACATAAATTAAAATTCGAGTTCCCTCTTTTATAATTAAGGAATTGTCATAACTTAGCTCACAGTGTACAGGGTGGCACATTTTCGATGTTTTAATAGGCTATATCGAAAACCAGCAGAGATATCAAAAATCTGGGAGCATATTCTCAAGCTCTTTTTTTGAGAAAATAACAGTGGCAAAGACAAATCACGGCTAACTTGATGCGTTCAGGAAATACAGAGCACTTTCTAAATTTTGCACAATAGGGAATTTTCATATTTCTCAATTTATTTTTTTTTAGATACTTCTAGTGATCAGATATTAAATAGTTTTCTTTTTTTCCATTTAATCTATACGTTTTAGGAAAAAAAAATTATTGAAATTCAAATTAAGAAATTTGGCGCGAAAACGCGAGATTTCAATTTGACAGCGCTCGTGATGTCAAGATTTCGTAAACAACAAACGCAGCAAACGAACTTCTGTTGACGCAGTGGGCCGCAGTACTATTTTTGTGTTATTCAACTGTGTTAAAGTTTGCTTTTTGTGAAAATTGTCGCAATGAATGAAGAATATTGTAGAGGACGGCCTTTGTAAATTTTATTTCACTTGCAAGTTCCCTATTGACAGGTTTGTTTACATAATTGTGACGTCAAAAAAGGTAGCCATCATGGAACAATTGTTTTGGCGGGAAATTTTTTATTTCAAATTTAGCATTATTTTTTGTGTAACAAGGGCGGTATCAGTTAAATAAAAACTGATCATATAAATATTATGTAGTATTTGGAAAATTTTAGTTCACTTGCAAGTTCCCTATTTTAGAAGACCTTCTAATTTCTTCATTAATCAAGATATCCAAAAACAAAAAATACTTTTCCTACAGCCGTGCGGAAAAATCGATTTTCCGCACTGATATGCGTGCGGAAAATGAGTTTTCCCGCACGGTGCGGTAAAACTTTTACCGCACGCATATCAGTGCGGAAAAAGTTTTTCCGCACGGCTGTCAGTGCGGAAAAAATTTTACCGCACTGATATGTCAAAAAAAAAAAAAAAAAATTACATTTTTACGCCTGTAGGAAAAATATTGTACCTAACACTTGCGGAAAAATTCATTTTCCGCACTTGTTAGGTAAATAGCTATTTTCTACGAGCGTGCGGGAAATGGCTCTTCCCGCACGATTTGCTGTGCGGGAAGAGATTTCTTCCCGCACTCAGTGCGGGAAGAGTTTGAAGTAATCATTGTGACATGGAATTGTTTGTATTGTTGATACACCTATACCTGTGTACCTTTACCTTTTTATAAATACCTTTTAATACATTTTTAATTCTACCTCCTGCATAATCGCATTTTATTTAAATTAAACTCTTCGTAACATCAGCCTTAGTATGCTCATGCTGGAAATTTCTCTTCCCGCACTCATTAGGAAAATAGCTATTTTATAGGCAGTTTTTCAAGGAGAATCCAGTGGCATGACCAATTTTTCTCCAGATGCCTCCGATTTTGGAATATTGATCAAAGTTGTGTTTTTTTAAATGGGACACCCCATATATTATTTTTTTTATTGAATAGCTCTTTGTGAGCTGATTTCAATGATATAAGGTTATACCTTTACCTTCAATAGTTTTGGAGAAAAAAAAATAAATTTCGTTTTTTCCATAAGAAACAATAAGCTAGAGAGAGATAAGTCATTAAATAAATTATGTGTTGCCTATTTATCACCCCCGATTCATAGTTTAAATTTGAAAAAATTAGCTGAACTGAAAAACTAAATTAAGAATCAAGAAATTTGTAGCCAATTCATAGTGCAACTATCCCTTTCTAACTCATTGTTTCTTATGGAAAAAACGGATTTTTTTTTTCTCCAAAACTATAGAAAGTAAAGGTATAAAACCTTATATCATTGAAATCAGCTCACAAAGAGCTATTCAATAAAAAAAATAATATATAATAATAAATACCCATTTAAAAAAAAAAAACAACTTTGGTCAATATTCGGAGGCATCTGGAGAAAAATTGGTCATGCCACTGGATTCTCCTTGAAAAACTGCCTATAGAAAGTATTTTTTGTTTTTGGATATGTTGAATAATAAGGAAATTAGAGAGTCTTTAAAAATTGGACAAAATTTGAAAAGTGCCCTGTATTTCCTAAATGCATCAAGTTAGCCGTGATTTGTCTTCGCTATTGTTATTTTCTCAAAAAAAAAGCTTGAGAATGTGCTCCCAGATTTTTGACATCTCTGCAGGTTTTCGATATAGCCTATTAAAACATCGAAAATGGGCCACCCTGTACATCCAAGAAAGGAATTAAAATTGGTTGAAGATTGTTTTTTGATGTTGGAAAACCATTTTGAATTCTGATTTTCAATAATTGACATTCCTCATTGTCATTTGTTGCTTTTAGAATTTCCAAAATCATTGGGTCTTGTAGATGGGAACCTCTAATTTCATCTGCAGTATTATCCGTTAAAGAAATTTGCTGAATGACTCAAGGATTTATATGAGCTGAGGCTTCTTCTGTCAGTAAGTCTTCTATACAGAGTGAGTTTGAAGTATGGAATGTCTTAATTATCTCGAAAACGGCTTGCATGATTTTTATGCATTTTCCAAATAGCATTCATCATTTTCCATTATTTCAATTGAGGCAGGATTGATTGGGGTTTCTAATAGTTCTAAGTAAAATTTTCCAGTTAATGTACCAGGTAGAAAAGAGGGGCCAACTTCATGGTCACGAAGATGCCAGCCCAAACTTTTCACTTTTCTGGATGCTGCGTGTGCGTCTCATGAAAAATTCTAGGAGTTGTATCGTATCCTCCCAGTAACGGCAATTGTAACGGTTTAAAGTGCCATTGACGGAGAAAGAACATTCGTCAGAAAAGCAGATATTGAATAAACAATGTGGGTCTTGATCTACCCGTGCGCTCATCGACTCGCAGAATTCCAGACGTCAATCAAAATCATGTTTGTTAAGCTCTTGGATTAATCGTATTTTGTAGGGAAGGGATGGAATTTGTGTTTTTTCAGAATTCGTTGTATGCTAGTTCGATCAACCCCCGAAACAGCAGCTAGCTTCCTCGTATTCAGTATTGATGAATGACATGACCTAGAACAGCTAAAGTTTTTTTTTTTTTAAGGATAATTCCCCAAGTCAAAAATTTAGTAACTATGTTGGCAACACAAGCCTTTTCTACATAAAAAATTGAAAGCATTGACAATTTTACATTGTATTGCCAACATAATGTCATTTTGACTTTTATCTTTAAAAAAAAAACGAACTTTACTTCCACTCCACTCCTTCATTGACTACTGGATTTGCAATGTCTCGCTGTTTGTTACATACCGATCCAGTCTCCCTAAATTCTAGGACATATTTTCGATTGACATGTGTGCCAGGATGCCGCTGATTAAAAATGTCAGCTGTTGTGAATGCGGATTCATGATTTGCAAAGAATATTGAAATCAGCTCCACTCTTTCGGCTATA